AATCGAATTAAATAGCCCGCTGGAAAAGTCTGTGTCACAATTGTCATTTGACAATAAGGATTATCTTTTTTCCTCACTATGATTATTTTTCCACCATTGTTGTCAGATAACAAATTTTAACATGAAGATAATCTTGAGCCATTCAGCCCAAAAATTAAATGGGGCTATATAAAAAATTACATAAGGCTAATGGGTCTATGTATAAATTTTTTTAGAAAATAAAATTAGCAAAAAAAAAGGTAGCAAAAAATTACATGGGGCTGGAGCCCACCCTAGCCTTAGGGTGGCTCCGCCCCTGGTGATGATAATTGATATTTGATTAATTTTTTTATTTTTCTATTTTTTAGTTGGACATCGTGCTTTATTAGTTCATATCTAAATGATCCTATTCGAGAAATATTCAATTCTTGGTCACCTGGCTTTTTACCGTCAGACCAGCTTACATTTCACTACAAAAAAAGAATTCTTACATTCCAACGGAAATTTTCCATTGGAATTTTTTATATTTCCGTTGGAATAGCTATTCCAACGGATATTCCTATGTATAAAACTCCGTTGCAAAAACGGTCGTTGGAATAGCAAATATCCAACGGAAAATCCTATGGAAATAAATTCCTACATCTATTCCAACGAAAAAAATCCATTGAAATTCCTCAACTATCCAACACTTATTCCAACATAAAATTAAGTTTGTTGGAATATTCATTGGAATATCCAACGAAAATTTTTGCCGTTAGATTTTTTCATTGGAATTGTAGTGTTTTTTTGTTTTGTTTATTTGGATATGGGTGTGATTGGTCGGAAAAAGTGCATATATTATATATTTATTAGCGTGTTTTTATATTCTTAATTTTGTCGCGCTTATATGTATTTCGACTTATTTACTTGTTAGATGAATTCTTGTACTTTGATATTTTTATGGTTTATTTCTAGGACATTGGAGTGGTTTCGGCGGCGACGTGACATTGGAAGAAATTTCATCCGGAGCAGTACGGGGGTGCCCCGTACTGACCTAGCAGTACCCCATACCAGCCCAAAGCCTTGCTAATTGTGTTTGAAGGCCCAATTGTTAAAGAATTAATGTGGTGGGCCCAAATAATTTCATTAGTTTAGCCCACTTATCAAAGGAGAGAGCATGACAATTAATTGGAGGACAAGCCCGACACATTGACGCATCCATCAGAGGAGATTTATTTGAAGGATGTTTGGAATTAATTTAACTTTTTTGGAAGGCAACCATATATTAGTAGGAGAGATACGCATCAAGAGAGATTCACGCTGCCACACCTAGAGAAAATATCACACAGAAAATAGAGCCGCGAGCAGAGTACTTACGCGAGAAGCCGATATCTTGCGGAGGGAGACTGCACCCGTACACGAGGGAGATAATTAATCTCCCTCTTTTATCTATCTTTTTCTCTTTATTTATTATGAGAGTAATTTTTATTTCTAGTTCCGGGGATGTCGAACCCTACGTACTTGACGATGTTTGATTTATTTATATGGTTGATTATTGAGTTGTCTTTTTGGAATTGTTTGTGTTATTTTGAATAATTAACCATGATGTGTTGAGTCTTATTTAGATTGATCACCTAGATTAGGCTTTTCATATCTACAGCTGAATTAGACCTTCAATCCGTAATTGTTTTTGTGTTTAATTCATAAGAGGCTACCGGAAGACGGTTACTACCGGGGATAAGACGGCCTATTTAAGTGAACGAACGCGTCACTACTTAGTGTAACCTATTTTTCTAATGCGTAAAGCGGCTAATTGTGTTAAATCCTGAAAACGTTTTTCTGGACTGTACAAGCAGTCAGGTCTAATCGTAGAGCGTCTCGCGGTTAGGTTAAAATTAAGAAAAAATTCGGGTAACAGACCGTGTCGTTACCTAGGGCTAGTAATTTCAAAAGATAGTTAGATTTGATACCAAAGTTGATTAGACGAGTCAGTCAAGCGTGTAGACGGAACCGTGAACTAGAAATTTTTCTTTATTTATTTGTTGATACCCAATTTGGCCACGATTAATAAAATCCGACACGTGAAAAAATAAACGAGGGTTAAAATATGTAATAAATAAATATATAAATAGCAAGTTTTCAGAACCAATTCGGAGCTGACCGAGCTGCAGTTATTAAGATCTTTCACTTCCGAGCCGAGCAGAGTTTACAGTGATCGGCCGACCCGGGTCTCGCAAGACAGCTAACTTCCGCGGACGTCGTCGACAAGATAAAACAACAGTCGTAGTTGTCAATTATAATTATTGGGCCCTACGCGGTCACATCTTATTTACTACACTTGCATTATTATATTATAACAAATGCCACTTGTTAGGCTATATAAAAGGGAGTCCCTCAATTATTGAGAGGGGACTCCCTCATTCAGATAAGAAAGGAAAAAAGAGCAAAGACGGGAGAGACAATCTTATCTCCCAAAAAACCAATAAAAATAGGCATTCATCCAAAATCTCATTTTTTCTTACTTTTTCCATACAAGATCTTCTTTCTTTGTATTTAGTAATAAACATTGGTTGTTACGAAAATTGTTGACAACATTATTATATTTTATTTTTATTTTCTAGTTTAGATTTTATTTGCTTTATTAGGATCTTAGTTTTTTTAACTCAAAACCTCCCCCTCTTTTATTGCTTTTATATTTCAAAATTAATACAAAAAAAATTCATGATTCGATTCACGTGGAATCGACCCTTGCCCACCACTACTACCAGTTAGTAGAGGTTGGTTAAGAAAAATATAAATTATAATTTTGCCGCGTTGCGACGCTCAATCAGGGTGTGTGTGTGTGTGTGAAACGATAAATAACTCTGTTTGACATATTTTATAGGTTTTTGTTTCATATGTGATACATTTCTCACTGTTTCCTTTATTTTTAGGATTACCTATTTATTGAATGTGTTTTGTGAATATGTTTTAAGCAGATTTACTACTTTTTGATATGCTGATGAAATAATAGAATTATCATACAAGAATTTGAGCATAGAAAGACAATTGTTTCATATTTCAAAACAATCCCACATGTCAGTAACTAAATCCACATCAAGAAACAGTTCACGAACACAGACTACACTATACACAAACGAATGTTGTGAGCTTGTGAAGGGCTAGCTGACCTTGAAGCGCATTGTTCCATTGTACAGCGATTAAGGCTAATGTGCTCGGCGAAAGTTAAGGTCCCGATGCCTTGAGCATCGCGGTTAATTCGTGCGGGTAGAAAGTGCCACGAGGTTTCGTTTGTTCTTGATTAAGGCTATTATATTAATAATGTTGAAATGTTTTTTTGTTTTATGATGTTTGTTTGTTGTTTGTAATTTGTATGTTGATGAAATGAATCAATGTGACATTGTTTAAGTGGCAAAACTTAAAAAATGATACATCAAGTTGGACGTTGTCAACAAAAGAGACATTTTGTTGTCCTTCACGGAATAGAAACCTGTAGTTGACATGGCATGACATTATAACTTTCTTTAATTTTCTACGTGGTATCTACGTGGCGTGATGTGACACCATCTTTCCATGTACACAACTACACCTAGATAAAAAAAAAGTCCAAAAATAAATAAATAATGAAGAAACATCAGCAAAAAATAAATAAAATTAAAATAAAAAATAATAAAAAATATAAAAAATTAATAAAATATTAATAAATTATCTATTTCATTAAATATATATATTAAAAATATTAAAATGATTTCGATATAGTTCGTTAATATATATCAAAATATCATTAAAAAAATAAAAAAAAAATTGTTAATATTTCGATAAATATTAATATATATCGCTAACATATATTAAAAAATATTAAAAAAATAAAAACAGTATTTCTTTAATATTTCATTAATATAATTAAATAAAATATTATAAGATAAAAAATAATAAAAAATTTAAAAAAATATATATGTTTTTAAATATATATTAAAAATCAGATATATTTTGTTAATATATATTAAAATATTATTAGAAAAGAAAATGTTTTGTTAATATTTCATTATATATAAATATATTTCGGTAATATATATTAAAATATTAAAAAATCTTTCTTTAATAATAATAATTATATACAAAATATAAGTTCATATTTAAAAAAGATTAATTTTAATTTATTTCAAAAATATATATTTAGAAATATATATTATATTAATAAAATAAAACACAAAAATATATTTAAATATTTATAAATAATTCGCAATCTAAGGTGTCAATTGATTACTTATTCTCGTTTTCATTTTTGCAAAATGAAAATATTACATTAAAAAACGTGCAACAATTTTGTTAGACAATATGAATTTCTACAAAAAAAAAAAAAACAAGTTGATTTGCTATGGAATGATTTATGTTACACATTTAGTTGATCAATGTTTTTTTTTCAATATATATATACATATATATATATATATATATATATAGGCTGTTTCAAATAAAAATTAGTTCTGGTGTGAGAACCGTGAGAACCATATTTGATGTTATTTTTTGTTGTGTATGTTGCTATTTCAAATGTTACATGATGCTATCATTTCTCACTAATGTTCATATAAATTGTGTTGTTATTTTTTAATAAAATTCATCCTGGTTAAAAATAGATCTAAACACAATCATTTATAGTACTTATTCAATTAAAAATAGTAGATCTCACGGTTCTTACGCTAGAATTTGGTTCTCATTTGAACCACAACCTATATATATATATATTTCATCCATGAACATTAGCCAGATTTTTTTTTTTTTTTTTTTTACCAATTTTTGAATTTGTTGTCGATAAGTTTTTAAACAGTTTTAGTACTTTTTGGTAAGCTGATGAAATGATAGAATTATCATACAAGAATTTGAGCATAGAAAGGCAACTGTTTCATATTTCTAAACAATCCAATAGAATCTGTCAATAAATCCACCTCAAGAAATAGTTCACAAACACAGACTAACACTATACAACAATCGAAAGAGCGCCTTTCTAAATTGGTTTATGGCAAAACGTAAAATGATTCTCTTCAAGGCCTCAGTAGGATGATGACACGGTTATGCCCGACTCGAGTCTCGGTTATCCGACCCAAATGCCGAAGAACCTATCAAAATGTTGAAAACAAATTAACACACATATAGATTCAGAAGTAAAAAATTGATTTTTTCTTATGTTCACTTATGTATCTCTTTACGAAGCGAACAAATTCGCTCGAGATTATGTAACACATAGGAAAGACTAACCGTCAATAGTGCTCTTCCCGTGTTATCAAGTTTCAAGGAAGGCCCCTTAATGTCTGCCTCTAAGAAAAAGTACTTTCCTTTCACTGCATCTGTCATTGCAATTTCTCTTAATTCCTACACGAGTCACACGAGCATCAAATTTTACCATTTTCTCGGATGGTAAAAAAATAGAAATTCGTATGAACCACCAGAAAAGGATGATAGAAACAAAAACTGTAATATAAATGAATGTGAAACTGTGAAAGAGGATATGATATCATTACCAGAGCCTTGTCCAAGTTATTATCTGCCAGCTTCACATTTTGAAAGAATATAAAAGAAATGAATCAGCATAAATGGTTTAAAAAAAGTTCAAATAAAAATGATAAGCAAGAACAACTTTTTTCCGTGGTGCGGCAATAAGTTGCGCATTTGCTTCGGCATATGCTGCCATGTCTCCAATTGCACTATTCACCTTATCCAAAGTCAGTCTCTGTTTCATGTACCTAAAGAATTTTTTGCTACTCTTAAATCTTCGAGAGAGATTAAAAGAATTTTTATACGACACATTCAAATTCAATCAATATGAAGCAAAGTAAAAAGAAAATTCAATTCACTTACGGTGGCACGGAATTCAGCTCATCTCCAGTGATGTACCACATTGGTGGGGGCCCTCGACCTTTCTTTTCCTGCTACAAGAAAGCGAAATTTGAATTGGAAGTTCATTGTTGTTTCACAACATTATTAAACTTTTTTATTTGTTGTAGCAATCAAACACACGGGACACTGAAAAGAAAAATGCAAACTATGTTGTTTTTAAAAAGTTCAAAATCACAATACAGAACATAGGAGACTAAACAAAATATGCTAACTATAGGGGAAAAAAAAAAAAAAAAACATACGTCTGTGTCGCATTTTGAAAATTACTATGATCTGTTTTCAGTTTTCACCTCAAAATAGTTAATGTGGGGCTTGTGTTCTATACCAATTACTAATGTTCAAAAGAATGCATACTTTAGGTGCAGGCTCCTCATGCTTCAAAGACTGAAATCCAGGATCTTGCTTATACTCTTCTCTTTGCACACTGAAGAAAAGGAGAAAAAGAGATTCGTCTATATTCTTATATTTTAGCAACAGAAAACAATTTCAGCATCTAAACAGTGCATTACCATTTATCAGTGTCCCTATTCAAATTAGTACATCTATCCGGCACGCTTGATGGAACAAAAGCAGAAACACTCTCCAATTTCTTCCGTTGTACCATGGCCGCCTCAATTAACTTCTGCAGCACAAAAATTCAAGTCCTCAACTTAGTTCGTGAATGACTGAATGAGTTTCCCCTCTTGAAACCTCGATAAGATTCCTTTATTTTCCTTCTCTTTCTTAACTTGCAGAAATAATACACTTGGGTATCTTGTGTCTATCCTCTAAGGAGGACAATTCAAAACATTTCATTTGAAAAATTTACAAAACTTAAGCCAAATTTCCCCGTTTTATAACCGGAATTAAGGTGAAACAAGATCCCACATGATGCCTTTACAAGTTAATTACACACAAGCCATACAGGAATATGATTATTCGACTCCCTTTCAACTACACTACAGGTCGAATGCATTTTAATATTTGCTACATGCAATTTAAGATTCATATTAAACCTATAAATCGTTCGACCCGATAATCATGAGAAGAGAATAAAATCTGCTTCTTTCAAATGTAAGTACTTCAAAGTCCAAAATTCATGTACTGTTCAACACACAAAAAAACCCCAATGTTGAAAAAAAAATCAGGAAATTCAGCAACACTGAGACCACCTTTGCTTTAGGGACAGCTCGAGCTTCATCACGCAACCGATTCTTGATATTCTGCACCTGAAGCTCCATGCCCTTCAACGCGGCATCTATGGCGGACAAATCGCTAATGCTGCTTGCGGGATACACTGCTCAGTTTCAAGAAAAAAAAAATAAAAAATGAGAAAAATGGATCATTAAAACGAATCGAATGCCATTCCAGTTCAATCGAAAAGCCAATTCTTCAGCATACGACAGATGAACAACAAAATTGACAAAAAAAAAAAAGCTTAGAAAAGATCCCAACTGTTCCGAGCGATGACGAGCTGCTGAAGCTCAGCTACTCGGGTATTGAATGAGGAAATCAGGCCATCAAGTGAAGCTCCAGCTTCTTTCACATCCATTGATCCAAAGGGCTACCAAAAAACTTGCAGGCCGCAAATGGAGAAAAGCGCTTGGAAGTTGGAACAGCGATTCAAATATTGGGAAATGCTACGGTCCCATTATGGTACCATCCCGTCAGACCTTCTCCAACCGAACAACTCAAACTCAAACCCATTTTGCAGTAAATGTCACATTATACAGTAATTCATCTTCAACCGAAAAACTCATTCTCAAACCCAAAAGAATATTCTCAAAATATTCTCATTCACATCAACTTTACAACTTTTCAATACTACCTACATATTTAACAATTTTACAATTAGTCCCTAATTGTTTTATATTCGATTGAAAAAATATTAAATTAATTTTAAATAAATAATAAGTATTAATTAAAAATATTTAATACATATTAATTTTTGGTAAGTAAAAAGTTACAATATTCTTTATTTTAAATTTGAATAATGTTTTAGAAAGTTTATATTATTTAAATTTATTATCAATGTTTTCTTAAACTTTTTTATATATATATAAAAAAAACTTAATATGTTATTTCTTAATCTCTATATTTTATTATACTTTGATATATATATAAAAAAAACAACTTTAACACTACACAGAATATATATACTTTTGTTCAGTAATTATTAAACACTTATATTAAACTTTTATATTAAAAATTTTGTTCACGAAATTTTGCATACTTATATTAAAAATTTATATTGATAAGTAATATGTTATAGACAAATTATAAATATTAATAAATAAACTAAAACTTAATATTTGAAAATAAAAGGGCCAAAACACAAATAAAAAAAAAGATTTGGGTTTAGGAACAGTAAAAACGCATATATGCGTTTGGGAGGAGAGAGAAAGTGATCAAAACCCATTTTGCGTTTGCGTTTAAGTACCGGTTGGAGCAATTTTTGGTGTTGCGTTTGGTTTTGGTGTTCGGTTGGAGTTGCTCTCAGGTGTTTTAACCGTTGGTTGGATTATCTATCTTATCTAACTACACGTGGATTCAATGGTTAAAACACTCGAGAGGATGGTAACTTAATGGACCGTAGCATTTCCCTCAAATATTAATTGATTCGATAAATTTGAAATTTAGGTCAATTTTCAGAATAAAAAATGTTTAAATCGATTATTAAATTTGGGCTTCACCTTCACATGGAAATCCCAAATAAAATTGGGCTCATATTATAGTACATCTCAGCAAAAGTTGGCCCAAAAATGAAATTCTCATATCCGTCTAGCAACTATAGTTATGTACCTAGCAGCTATCCACTGAAAAGAAATTATTCATAAGGGAATGAAGTACTGAAAATGTAGAAAATAGAAAACTCCATCTTTCCCTTGTTTCTTAGGAACCAACAATATATGACTACCTCATTCAATATATTGGCTTCAATTGACAATTGGAGGTGTAAGGAGTTGGAGCTCAGGCTCGAGCTTTTATCAAGTTAAGCTCGTCTCGTTTATCAATATTAACTAGCTGAATCCAGGTCTTACGTAGCCAAACTGAGGTTTAAATCAAAAAATTATGTAAAACCCTATTTGACGAGTCTTATCCGTGTCGAGTTAACTAAGCTCGAGCTTGACTCGTTCATTCGAACTCAAGTCTTAACGAGCTGAACCTAATTGAACCCATTAGCGAGTCAATTGATTAAACAACTCTAGCTTCAATTCACTCTCTTCTTTATGTTTGAAGTAATTAGAATATCTTCCTATAGTAAAAAACCACATAAGATAACAATAAAGAATACATTGACCTATCTTACAATTACTATAGACATGCATGACTTCTTCTACATTTGTTATAAGTTCCATGGAAAAATAACACAAAAGTGGCAGGAAATCGCAAACAAGATACAAAATGATCGTCGGAATTAGTTCGAATCAAAACATCGCATTCTCCAATTTACATACACATATAACCGCATCACATCATGTTTGTCCTCTTCGTGTGAAAATCGACAATACTTTTGCTAGAGACAGACCTTACACATTCTTTAATCCTCAATCGACACAAAACCCTTATACTAAAACTTCAAAAGATTGCAAGAAAAAGCATGCAATCGATCGATACCTTCTAATAAAATCAAGGGTCTTTCATCGCTCGATGAATTATCAATTATGGATCCCGGGATGTGTTTTTGGGGGCAAATAGTCCAAGTTAAACCCGGGCTCTTTTTCACCTCTCTTCTCGTGAGGCACCCTCCAAGTAACTTGAGCTCGGGGCTTCTTTCTTGAGGTACCCGAAATTTTCATAGCTTCCCCTTTTGCCTCTATATGCTTTCCATGATCGACTGATGATGAAGATTTAGTCCTATCAATCGTCGTTTTAATTTTCTCTTTTGCATCCCGAGTGGCGTTTGCTATCGAGGATTTTTCTTCAGATTGTGTGGAAACCCTAGTTGTAATATTCGTCGTTCGGTCATTGTTCTGCATACATAAAACTAACCTTGAATCGAGATTCAACACGCGTCGACTAGCATACACTATAAACACTATAAAAATAACATACATACAGAAACACTATAAAAATAACAACAAAATAAAAATAATCAAATATACACATAAGGTAGATTTCAAATAGAAACCCTAGCTAGCATTTGAAACTAGCTAGGAACTAAGACCAAAATCTTATTAATTGAACCCTTTTCAATAATATTCTTAATTAATCATCAACAATGTATATCGAAAAATACAAGTATTGAAAGATTGAGCTAACCTTGCTCGTTGAGAGTCGAGACATTTGCTCCGCGTCCTTGTGGAGTCTCTGGAAATTCCGAGCACGAAATGTGTGAAAAGAAGAACAAAGAAGCACTACCAGAAAACACGAGAAGATTTTCGACATTTGAAGCAACTAAAGAACTCTAAATTTAGAGCAATAAGCACACTACAAGAGGGATTAAAACATAAAAAAAAAACTATATATATGTATTGCCTATTTTAGATGAACTGAATAATGTTAACAATGCTTGGTAGTAATTCTACCAAAGAGAAGAAAAAAGAAAGGAGAAAAGTGAGGCATTAAATTCAGATTTCGAAGGAGTTAACTAGTTTTCTTCATAAGAACATGCAATTTTATGGGTGATGAGAAGAAAGAAGAGAAACTATAGATATGGGTGGCCTCTTTTATGTCCCTCACATAACCCCACACACAAAAATTAAAGAGAACATTAAAAATTATATTTATGTAAATAACTTTTTTATTTTATTTTTGTCAATAATTAATCTTTAAAGGAAAATTGCAAATTATACTTGGTAACTTGGGGGCAATTATGTATCATTTTACCTAGTAATTTAATTTTGTAATTGCAACTACTCACTAAATGATTAAATTGCAAACATTTTTATCCAAATATGTGAGTTAATGGATATTTCTTAATCTTAATTAATGTATTACTAGTACAATACTCATGTACTAACACATGAGTGTTGAGTTAAGAAATATATGATTAAAGTTATTGATGTTTAATACCAAATCTAACTCCAGAGCAAAAATAATATAAAAACAACATCACGAAGCATAAATTCTCGCCATGTCAGCATCGAAGCGTGAAAAACTGCCACTTAGACTCAACACGTTTTGAATTAATATATATTCGGGAGAGATTTAACAAAATAGAAACACTAAAGAAGTGCATGTCCCTATTTGTTTCAACCGAGGAACCCTAATTTTGTTGTCTTTTTTATGTGAGGCTTTGTGCAAAATGGCATGTGGTTCCCTGGTTTCTAGGATAGTTCAGTTCTTCTAGCATTTCCCGCACTCCCTCTTTCTACGTTGAAAATCTACCACGGATTATATTTTAACTAATTCTTTTAATTAGGGATAAAAATTAGGCATAAAGTTAGAGGCTTTTTTTTTTAGATTTATGTTAAAACCGAGGATTTAATTTATAAAATCAAAAGTCAAAGAATTTATGTCTACTTTAGTTTTATGGAACTTCTACTACTTAAATCAAAATCCAGATTAAACATTGAAGTACTTAACTTTCATACTTATATTAAAGAAAAAAAAATGAAGAAGATTTAAGAATTTAAATTGATTTTATTATTTCGCTCTTGCCATAAAAAAAGAAATCGGTAGATCTTATGTTAGGTCACCTAATAACTAAACAATCATACTTATTCAACCGATGTACATGATTGAATAATTTTTAACAGTTTGGTATATAGAGTTATCGGATAGCTCGGCTCATGGAACCATCCACATGTATTCACAAATCGTGTATTGACATGTGTCATACTATAAATATATTTTGGACATGTGTCAATACATTAAATGATTGATGTCTCCATAAAAAAAAATTATTCGATGGCTCCATAAAATTTTTATAATTATTAAACCTCTACATGATAAGTTTAATTGTAAAATTTAATGGCAAGAAGATCAAAAGAACAAGCAAGCACTAGTCTCACCAAGTTTGTAGCTCTTGCAAGGGACATAAGGTAAGTGTCTAGCCGCCAATAACGGTCAACTTGCCACGTGGATTAGACCCTAATAATAATAATACTTAATTTGGAGATTAATTTTAACTCCACACTATTGAAGAAAATCTCAATCAATTAAATAAGTTGATTGTTCTAAAATTAAAATGTTGAATAAAAAGCTGAAAAATTACATGACCAAACGATTCCTAGTTTACAATGAATGTAAAAGTCTACAATTTAATTTTTTTCACCAAAATATGTATATAAACAAATATAAATATATATTTATATGTGGGTGTATGTTTAGAAATTGTAAGTAGATTTGTGTTTAAATATTGGGAAATGGCTGTGGGATTTGTGAGGTGAGATGTGTCTCTAGCTAAACTCTTTGTGTCATGTTAAAGCCCCACATTTTTTAAACATGCACGACATCCTTGTCCCCATTTTTCTTTTTATTTTAATTTTGAGTAAATAGTGCAAACGAGTCAAGCAGACCGTTCGCGAGTGCTTGAGTCTATGCTCGACTCGAGCTCCAATAGTTTAACCGAGCAAATGAGTCGAGCCTTTAGCATCATTTCAAGAAACTTGTAATCGCTTGACGAGTCGCTCTACTTTTTGTTTACATAAATAACTCATATAGTTTAAACATCAATAATACAAAACCAAGGTAAAAAATGTCGATGATTAGAAAAATACCATTATGTTCAACGTTTGCTTTCAAAATTTCGAGCCGATCACGAGCCATGTCGAGCATCGAGTTAATCTCGAGCATCGAGTCGAGCTCGAGCATTCGTAATTTTACACGAGTCGGATCGGGCATCATTTTACACGGCTCATCGAGCTCGAGTTCGGTCATTTAAAAAAAGTTTGCGCTCGCCAAGGTCCATGCTCCACTCGACTCGTTTAAAACTCATACTATGTAAATTGTACAACCTTGCACTTGAACCAACTAGTTGCTTTTATTTGGGTTATTGGCCGCTTGGATGGATAACACAACATTTATGGCCCAATAAAAGATATCAGAAAAATGTAAAATATTTTGGGTCCACGAAAGAGGTGTTGGGCTAAACATATGCGGCCTTGGGTTATCCCGATCCAAATAGTTGTGGTCTCGGCACACAAAAGAGGTATTGGGCTAAATAAGAAACTATTAGCCCAACCAACTATGATTACGACAAACAATGAAACATGTTAGAGACATAGGATTATATTATCTTAACACATTTTTTTCGCAATTATTTGTTAAATTTGAGTTTTTAAGATTTTAACTTACAGCAAGAGTAACAAAAAACTTAGTTTAATTTTCCTAAAACCATATACCGACACAAGACTGAACAAGATCGTTCGAAAATCATGAAATTACACCAGATTTGTAAGGAGTACACTAATTATCAATTATACAAATAAAATGTTCCAAACACTTATATAGGTTTAGAACATAGATTTATCTATTTTTCTTTTAAATCAAAAAGAATAATATAAACTAGTAGAATACTCGTGTACTACACAGGTACTTGTTAAAAAAATTATTTGTAAAATTAAATAATAATACAACAATTGTTTAAAATTAAATATATGTATTTATTAGCCTAATTTGATATTTTCATGAAAATTAATGATCCGTTCGAGAGCTTTCAAAACAAATCAAGGTTATATATTAGTCAATCAGTAACATTTTCAAAGATTTCAATACAACTTAAGTCTTAAGGGTTATATCAATCAAATTACTATACATTTGCATGAAAATGAGAAATGCCAAATTAACCATTAGAGCAAATCTATGTAAAGATTTGTCAGATATTCATAGTCCAAATACAAAATTTATTTTTCCCCAAACATGACTGACTATAAATAATTTGCCATTTTGTTTCTCAATAATTAATATGAATTACACATGATCATGTGATGTTGATGGATGCGCCGCTCACCAATTTGTACAATTTTTTTTTTTTATAATATCTTATCTTTTTCAACCATTGATTGATCCACTAGGCTACCTTAATTCGACATTTAATTATTTTAATGTATCTTACAAATTATGGATATGAAACTTTATAGGGGTGTATTGTTCAATACATGTGCATTTCATATTATATATATGTTAATCAAAGTGTAACATCACCTTACATTTGTTTTATTATAAGAATTGGTGGTAGGATTATAAGAAGGCACCCATTATTATTATTATTATTATTATTATTATTATTATTATTATTATTATTATTATTATTATTATTATTATTATTATTATTATTATTATTATTAACACCCCCTAATCATGAGGAATGCACTAAGAAAGAACAAAACTAAATGTTAAAAAAATAATTAATTTGTTAGTAAAGATGATTTATTTCCAAGGTGTGTTTTATTGTGTTGTCTACCTAAATATTGATAAAGTTATTAGATTGACATGTATTTGCTTGAGAAGTCTGTATATGTTCCTTGTTAGGAGAGTAAAGAACATTTAATCACCCTTTTTTTATAGCAATATTAATTAAAAATGGATAACTAAAAAGTATACCTCAAGTGTTAGTTTAATTACAATATTAAAGAATTAAATTCAATAATCATATGCCTTAGAACTAGAAAAAAAATCTTTGTGTCCACACAACAAAATACAAGATTTAATTAGTTGAATAAATGTAAATAATATAAAGGACAAGTTATCACATGGAGGAAGGAATTAATAATTTAATATAGAAATGTTTTTTGTTTGCAAGAAAATATATACAAAATCATGTCCATATGCATATAGGTTTGCTAAAATTAATATTTTGAAACCTAAGCATCTGTCCTGTTCACACAAAACACCCACAATTTTCAACATTATATTTCTTGGACAATAAAACAATTCCCCTTTATTATATAAGCTTTCTCTGCAATTTTATGTTTCTTTAGTGGGAATTGTCATTTTCAATGTACAAGTGAGCTTTGATCTTTAACTTTATAACACTAAGAATATATATTTATATTACAGAGCAATAGTTTGGCTTATCAATAATTAACAATTGTCTCACAAAATCTTAGTGCACATATTTGATGATGAAAGAAAAACTATTACTAATACGCATGTGCAACATGAGTATTGAGCTAATGAATATATGTGTAATGTTATTTATGTTTAATATCATACCTAACTTCAGAGTAAAAATAATATAAAAACAACGAAGATTCGGACTAAAATCTAACCGATTTTGCTCCATTATATAAACTAAAATCTTCTAATTTAACCGATTTTTGCTCCATTATATAAACTAAAATCTTGTATGAAGGGGAAGCAGCTTTTGCATGAAGATTCAGACAACCTAAATTTTGAGGATAATTTGGCTTTTCAAAACACGCTTTTCCTTTTCTTTTGAATGACCCTTTTCCACATTTAATGCATTTTCATTGGGGCTCTCAAATTGTTTGGGGTTTCTAAATTGAATTTGGTGCAAGAATTTTTGTCCTTTGATTTTAAATAAAACAATGTAATTATTTATACATAACTTATATATCATCATTTGAGATCATTAAATGTGTATCTTATTCAAAGTGAGAATGAGAAGTCTAGTTGAAATCATGGACTTACATAAGCATTTTCTGTTTATAATATTTATATGAATATATAAACGAGTTGAAGAGCTAAACACGAAATAAATAGGAAAATGAATAAAGAAACCAACTCCGTTTTTAATATTTACTATTTGGGGAGATTCTACGGTCATGTTATGGAACCATTTCGTCGGGATTTGTTACGGCTAGATCAACTATCCACGACGGTTACATGATAATTTAACGATTACAAATTCTGATAGAATAGTTCCGTAACAAGACTGTAGTTTATGATATACATACACTCATCAAAATTCGAAATAAAATTGAGTGTAGCATGACAATTGTACCCTTCACAAATAGCTACGAGATGGCCAAAAGAGTCCTCAAGCCCACAAAGCCACCATTTTATTTACTTTTCATTTTTTATTATCATTTTTCTCTCTGCCACCAGAAAAGGCTCTCAAACATTAACGGCCCATTGGTCCATAAAAATCTCCCAGACAAAAAGCCCAAATAACAACTAGAGACATATTTTAACCGTTATTTGATGACCACAGGTACATCATCAAATCCAACAAACAATAAAAAAAAAATGATGATGAATTAATCTGTTTAATAGTTAATTTATAATAATATAATTATGTATATTTTGGAAACATTTACTATATTTTGCTCATGTCATGAAGTACTACTGATATAGGCTGAACATTAAATGTCTGTCACTGAGTTTGTTTCTAGTTTTGGCATTTTTCACAACTTGAGCTACACTGAGTTTTTTCTTCATCGATTGAATCTATTTAATGTAACCATCTTATTTAATGAGTTACAGCCAATTCTAACTTCCATATTTATGAACCGTTCAATAATTAATTACAAAAGCTCAACAAAAATGAAATAATTTACTTATAATATAGTAGCATTTAATCATATCACGAACTAATTAGTTCAAGACTTGAAAATAAAAGTTTTTATGTATTTTTTTTTTCTTATTACTGCCTTATTAGGTGAAATTTGTTTATTGTTTTGTTTAGTCATTAGGTTGAGTTTAATAAAAGCTTAAATTGGAGTTCGATTATATGAAAAAATAGTAAATTTTTAACTCAATTTATTTACATCTCTACATGTGGAAGCACGCGCTGCAATCGCATGCTCTATCGAAGAAGAAGGTGAGAAAACCCGAACAGGAAAGATAACTAGGCACGAGCCAAGGCCACATAATTAACTGGAAATTCTTTTTTTTTCACCACAATACAAAAACATAATAAGTTTTTCAAACCGCTTGATAAAAAGCTAAGTTTTTCATTTCGAAAAGTGCGAAGGTTATGCAAAAACTGTCGCATATTTATCGCATAACTGTCGCATATGCGAAGTTACAACTGTCGCATATTCATCACACAATGCATTCGCACTTTAATTTTTTCACTTCAGAAAGTGCGAAGGGATATGCGAATGCCTTCGCACTTTTAATTTTCGCACAATGTCATCGCGCAATTGTCGCATATCCATCGCACAATGCCTTTCGCATTTTTTAGAGTGGAAAACTTAACTTTTTATTGAACGGTGTGAAAAAATTAACAAAACTTCAAAACGGGGTGAAAATAGCTATTTTCACTAGGTAAAAAGAGGTGAAAGCGAAAATAAAAGAAAATATAGTTAAAAAAGGAAGAAAAAATAAAACAAATAGAAAAGAGAGAGAAGAGGCAGGAGAGAGAAAAACTGAAAGAGAGAGAGAGAGAGGGGAGGAATGGAGGGGGTCACTTTACTACTTTTTTATGTTGCACGCATCCATGGCAGAAAACAAAAGGCAGACTGAGTACTGTTCATCCTTCAAGAACCAAACGAAATAAATAAAATTATATATTGAATAATATTGTTTCAAGACTCCATTTTTAACATTCAAAAACTCATCTTCATCAGAGATCAATTGCAAATTCTCTCTCTCTCTCTCTCTCTCTCTTTCTCTCTCTCTCTCACACACACACACACACAGAGACGAACAGAGCTTTTTTTGTTGAGTATATACATACCTGCATGTATATACTTGTATATATCCTTGAATTTTCCTGCATTTCATAAGTGTTTGTGTTCTCCCACTTCATATTTCAGTGTTTTGCTTTGTTGGGTCCTTTTTTTTAATCAATTTCGTTTGATTAAAGTTGTGAAATTTGGGGGATTTTGGGGTTAGATGAAGGGGATGCCCTTGCCCTTTGATTTTGAGGGGAAGGGGGTTTTAGACTTGGAGCAGCTGTTTGTTCAGAAAAAAAAAATTTTCCCAGATTTTGCTCCTCAAATCTCATCGGATTATATTTTTCAGAAAAATTGTTTCTTGAATCGTAATAGCTACAGCTTTGTCGAGCCCACATCTGTACTGGATTCTGCGAAAATTCCCAGCCGACCCTCATCCTCGTCAAACCTGTCTTCATCTCTCGTCGGCGGCGGCGGCGGCGGCGGCGCTTCGACAGACACGGCCGGCGTGGCGGCGGTGTCGGACGCCAACCCCTCTCCCAAATGGCAGCAGCACGACTCCACAACTGCCACCAGCTCCAATGCCGGCGGCAGGGACGACGGAGCTGACACCGACCTCCTCCCCGTCCCCCCGTCACTCGATATCGGCGCCGGAGGTTCCGCCGGAAACCCGGAGAAGTTCGCCATGGAGGACTGGGAGGGCGTGCTGTCGGAGTCGGTGGCCGTCTCCCCCGGCCAAGAGCAGTCCATTTTCCGGTGGATCATGGGCGACGTCGAGGACCCGTCCATGGGAGGCCTTAACCGTGCCCTCCCCATCGGCGGCGACGGCGGATCCTCCGCGCCGGAGCTCGATTTCAGAGGCGGCTTTGCGTCGAACGTGGATCAGGGTTTCAGCTCCGGCGAATACTTCATGCCCGCGGCCCCAAATTTCCCCAACAACAGCAGATCTGAAAAGAACAACATCGATTTGTCCTCAAATCCGACCATTAATTTGAATTTGAAATTTTCTCAGAATGTAATGCAAAACCCATCTTCACCCTTCAACAGCAACCTGAGCCCCATCGCATTCGATACATCCCAAGAAATGAAGTCACCCCCCATTTTCAGTCCCCAGCTATTGATCAGCCAGCACCAAACCCAGCACGCTCAAAACCCTTCCTTTTTCCTTCCTCTCTCATACTCCCAGCACCAGGAGCCCACCATCTTCGGGCCGCCCCAGCTCAAGAGGCACAACTCCGGCGGTCCCCTCGATGCTGGGTTCCAGCCCAGCGGCCCAATCTCTAAAGGCCCATTCACAGACACCAGCCTGAACCCCCACCAGCTTCAGTTCCTTCCCCACTACCTGCAACATCATCAGCGCCCTATTGGGCCGGCCCTGGGCCCGAGGCCCAAGCCCGACGATTGCCGGCAGCTTCAGCAGGCAGTGGTGGACCAGATTCACAAGGCGGCAGAGCTGGTCCAAACCGGAGACCCTGTTCTCGTGCAGGGGATATTGGCGCGGCTCAATCACCAGCTCTCTCCTGTAGGCAAGCCCTTTATGCGGGCCGCATTCTACTGCAAGGAGGCCTTGCACTTGCTCCTCAACAACAACAATAATAATAATAATATTGCCACATCATCGCCCTTCGGCCTCGTCTTCAAGATCGGAGCCTACAAATCGTTCTCCGAGATCTCTCCTTTGGTCCAGTTTGCCAATTTCACCTGCAACCAGGCCATTCTCGAGGCGGTCGAGGGTTTCGAACGGATTCATGTGGTGGATTTTGATATTGGACTCGGAGGGCAGTGGGCCTCCCTCATGCAGGAACTCGCGTTGCGGAACGCGGGCCCATCGGGCCCTCCTGCACTTAAAATCACGGCTCTAGCCTCCTCCTCCGCCTCGGCTCCCGCCGACCAGCTCGAGCTGAGCCTGACCCGGGAGAACCTGATCCAGTTTGCCGGCGAGCTCAATATCGGGTTCGAATTCATTGTGATGGGTCAGGACTTGCTGAGCTCTGGTTCTTGGCCTGGCCCGTTTTTGGATGGCGAGGCGGTAGTGGTGAATCTCCCGATAGGCTGCCTCGCAGGCGGCTGCCAGCTGCCGTGGCCTTTCATTCTTCGTTTTGTGAAACATCTTTCGCCGAGGATTGTGGTATCGGTCGACAGGGGTTGTGAAAGGACGGATTTGCCCTTCGCCAACCATGTGATCCATGTTCTTCAATCGTGCTCGAATCTCCTCGAGTCTCTAGATGCAGTCAATGTTAACATGGATGCCGTGCAGAAGATCGAACGGTTCTTGCTTCAGCCAGGGATCGAGAAAATTGTAACGAGTCGATTTCGAGCGCCTGAGAAGACTCAGCACTGGAGAACACTGTTTTTGTCTTCTGGGTTCTCGCCTGTCGTGTTCAGCAATTTCACAGAGTCCCAAGCAGAGTGCGTGATCAAGAGGACTCCGGTTCGGGGGTTTCAGGTTGAGAAGAGGCAGTCGAGCCTCGTGCTTAGCTGGCAGAGGAAGGAGCTTATCTCGGCCTCGGCTTGGAGATGCTAATGTTAGTGGAAATTAATTTTACAAATCTCTACAAGAAAAAGAAAAGAGTTAATATTTATGCGTGAATGCCTGAGTTTCTAGTTATTGCCTAATTTTTTTTGGTGGCTCGGGTTAATTGTTTGTTTTTATTTATCTTTTTTTTTTCTTCCATTGTTTGAAATTCAAAAGAACCAGGCTCGTTTTTTGGTACTGGATGGATGTGTGTTCTAATATAATCTGATATTACTTGAGCATGACTACATCGAAACATATGGATGTTCCGTTTTTTGTGCTAGTATCGATTTTGTGCCGAAAAGCAGTCAGCTTTGGGTTCTAATTGTGTTTTTTTGTAACCATACATATACGCTGGACAGTTTATGAAAGCCAAAAATGTAGGACGAAAAAAGAGCAAAAATAGTTTAACTGGATTAGCTTAATTCAGTCTGTGGAGGGTATATGATGATTTAAACTGCAGTTATTGTGAATATTTGAAATCCCTTTTTTTTGCTTTCTGTGGTTCATATCGAGCCATTCTAGTTAATTTGTCGATCTTCATTAATTTATATTTTCCTTTACATGTCCAGAAATATTACAAGATTACTGAATTTTGTTGCATTTGATTGAGTTATGTTAAATCTCCATTATTCTTCAAGTGCTTGTGCTTCATATATATGGCTCTGCACTTTTTGCTGATTTTGACCCAGAAGTTATTTAATCTGTGTTTAATTTCTATTATATATGTTCGACAAACTAGGTGCAGAGCAAACTTTCCGGGCTCGATCAAGATACTTATGAAGATTGAAGATACTTTTTTCACGGTTATCGTGTGTTTAACCCTCCAGTAGAGATTCTACGAAGACATTCAACTGTTCGGAACCATGTTCGAAAAACAAGGTTTTATCTTAACTTGTATCATTTCATTAGGAAATGAATATAATGGTGTGTAATTAATCAGTCAGTCTCATTTGAGTGAATTAATTTTAAATATTATGCTAATTTAAATCCTGTTCATGATGTTTGAAAGTCTAAAACCTGTCATCACCTTAAGAGTTTTTTTTTTTTTTTTTGGTAGGTTTTGGGAACAAAGAGGATGTTAACTTATTGTATGATTTAGTCTGTCCCTTTCAATGGGTTTTGCTGATTATTATTTGATCTGTTTATCTAATAATAATCACTTGCAATATTATATTATATACTTAAAAAATAAATTAAAACAAGAGTATGTATGTAACCATTAGACTGCCTCATCATATTCCCATCCCGTTACGGTACCATACTGTCGGTTGTTTTAACCGTTGGATCTACGTGTAGTTAGATAAGATAAATGATCCAACGGTTAAAACACCCGACGGGATGGTACCGTAACGGGATCGTAGCATTTCCCTGTAATTTGATCATATAATATGTGTTATTTTATTGTTGTTTATGTTTTTCAGTGTTGGTTTATGAAAAAAGTCTGTCTGTCGTGTTTTTGGTTTTGTTGGTCGGTCCATCACGTTACTTTGCATGCCAGTGGTTTATTATAGTATTATAATCTCATTGAAAATTGAAATTGCTGCTGTTTTGGGTGATTAAAAAATTTTAATTGTCTGTCCTAATCAAGTCACATGGGACTTTTACTATTGGACCTTCACATGATTAGTACCAGACCTGTCTTTTTTTTATATATATATATATATATATATTTATTATCTCATTGGGAAATTATTTTATGCATTACTTTAATCAGCATTATTTAAACCTAAATGATGTACTAAATTAAAATAGTGTTAAAGCCATGCATCTTGTGGTGTTCGTATTTTTTGTGTTATCTATTTGTTTGACCATAAACTATGATCACAAGTCTAAATTTAACTTCAAATTTTATAGTTATTTATTTTTGTGTGTTGTGTTTCGTGTTGTACTTATTGCATCATTTGTGTTGCAATTGGGCTTTCTAATTGTGTCGTATTGTGTTCGTATTTCGTGTCGTGCTAGCATTTATCAGTTATCAGCCATCTTTGTGGTCATATATAATTCATAATTTACCTTCTAAAGTTTTTCCCTAAATGTGAATTATTTATTTGTGATCTTGATAAAGAATGAAGTTGAGAAACTTTTTTGAGCATATGTTGATCTTTGCTCTTTTCATCACCATGTGATTTTTTGAGATTTTATTATAAGAAATGCAAATCTATTTTGATCATTATAATGTGAACTTTGAACAGTTAATAAGTTGACTACACAATTTCATATTTTATCGAGTGAAGAGACGTTTAATTAACCATTTATTTTATCGAGTGAAAACCCATGTTTTTCCCACAAGAAATTGTGAAAGACAACTCACATGTGAGTCCTTCGTAAGTCCCAGTCTACATAGCAAGTCTGGTAGAGAGAGTCATTACAAGTCTTATGACAAACCTGCTCTAATACCATATTAGAACTAGGGAAAGAGAGTGTGATCCTACCAGATGAAGCGCACCATAAAAGGATGAGTTTAGGTGCACCTTCGTGAGGTTTCATCCCAAAATCAATTGGTGATGGAAGGAATAGCCCACTAAGCTTATAAACCAGACTCATTTACCCTATAAAATCAATATGAGACAATTTACAAATGATATTCCAACATTATGTAAGAAACAACAACACCACCAATTACAATTACAATAATAATAATAATAATAATAATAATAATAATAATAATAATAATAATAATAATAAGTTTTTAGTAGTGTAGTAGCAGAAGAATGCAAAATGGTCATGAAATAAATAAGACACATCTTTATTAAAGAATGCTAATGTAATTATAGCTGACAGTGACAGCCTATAATCCTCTTTAGTAGTACCTTTGTCTTTCTTTCCACTCAACAAATTTTCTGTAGACTAATTAATAGTACTCCATATATTATTATTATTAGGACATTATATACTTTTATGTAAAACAACTGTTAAAGTATCAAAGAAAAACACACTTTATAACGGCTCAAATCAATCGCAAATACTTAGGTGTGCGCCTAGCAAGATGTGTCAAGCTTTTTTAAAATGAACATGTTATTTTATAAAATGAACATGTGTAAACATGTTTACACATGTTCATTTTATAAAGTAATATGTTTATTTTAAACTGTCTTGGCACACCTTGTTAGGTGTGTTAAGGCACACGGTAATAGCACTGCAAATCAATGGCGGGCTTATTTTATTTATTCGCCAATTTTTTCGGGGGAAAAAAAGGGTTAATTAGGTCCTCGCAAATTGCATTTTATCGTCTTTAACAGACAGATTTTGGAAGCATTTTGCTTCTTTTAATTTAATTTGGTATATAATTAAGTACTTCGGTTTTCAATTAATAATCATTGAGATAGCTTAGTTTATTAATGCATATTTGTCATAATTATCCTCTTGGTTGCTCAAAGGTCAAGCAAACAATCAACTTTTGAATTTTGATGCATTATACTAGATAAATTAGTTAATTACAATAACTGAATAAACTTAATTACTAAACCACACAAGCTAATAATTTACAACTAGTACAGAGCTCGTGCACGGGGTGCACAATGTTAAGGTCATTTATCTAGCCTTATAATTATATAAATGAATAAAGAAAAATGTACGGGATATATATAATACGCGACTTGTGCGAGACACAGGATATATTTGTTTGGGGATTATTATGCTATAAGATGCAATATTCAATAAAAGTATTATAATACACGAAAATAAATATAAATAATGTAAATATCTAAATACATACACGATATGTAGAATAAATAAGTCAAATTGCAAATCTGTAAATATAATTAAAAAAAAAGAAAAATATATTTCAACTAAACATGTACAAAAATATCTAAATACGTACACGAAAATAAATAAAAAAAAATATACATTTCAAATTTCAAAATTAAAACAAAAATTCAAATAATTTGGCTTACAGTTTTATCATGCAGAACCAACTCGAGATATGATTTGCATGTGCTGCTCCAATCTTGGAAAAACATTCTCACAATTCGAACTTTGGGCATAGGTCTATTAGACCTATTGACTTGTTTGATTAACCCAAATCCTTGAATTGTTTTGAATAAAAGACTGATTAAGGATATTTTTTGTTCGCATGAGGCTGGCAGTGAGGAAGATGTTGACTCGATATTTTGAGATTTGTAATTTAGAATGGTAGAGGAGATATATATTCCTGTTAATATTTTTATTAGAAAATCTGAATCTGAATATACAGAAATCGATTTGAACAAAATCAGAACAGATTTCCATACAATTAGATAATAAATAAAGCCTTTTTTATTTAAGGAAAGATTTTACGTCCTTATTTTTTTTACTTATCGGATGTTATGAGATTTTTTTTTCTTGAACTGATTTTATGGGATATAAGATAAATAAATAAAATAATTAAATAAAATTCTGGATTGAAATAGCAATGCATTAATTATGTTAACTTTTCAACTTACTAAATTTGGTAAATATGATACCCTATTATATAAGTATAAATAAAAAATAGTAATTAAAAATCAATATATAAAGAATTAACAAAAAAAAAAGTTAAATCAACTATATACATCAAAATATAAAAATAAATAAAAGCACAATTATAAATTATATGTTCTAAAAATGATATATGATACAAATATTTTTGTATAAAAATTATCATTCTAAAATCTGCTCAACTAAGCCCCCATTAATAATAGTCCAAAGATAGTTGGTCAAAGTTTTAGAATATACTAACCGCACCAGATATATTGTTATTATTATTATTTTCTTCGGATTAAATATTTCAATAAATTCAATCCCTTGATTGAAGCTGATGAAAGTTGAAAATAATGTTACCTCGCCTCAATAAGTATTCGTTAATCTCAAAATAATAAACAGTAGTTAACCTTTTTTTAATGTATTGAAGTTCAATTAGTTTGAAAATATTAACCGTATAGCTAGTTGACGACTACCCACCTAACCTTTAAAACATTAATTAAAGAAAATTATTTAGCTATTCAAAAAAAAAAAAAAAAAAAAAAAAATGGTATGGGCGACGACCATCT